GAATGCGAAAGGGGGTCAAACACCGTATTAGTATGGTGTTCCTAATAATCCTTTAGGTGAGTGTATATATATTAGTTATAGACGATGCTGGATTAGTAATAAGAACTGGTAAGTTACTAGTGTCCTCAACAGTGAATACCCCTGCAAAACTATCATTGAACTCATTTACTATATCAATGTCGTTTTCAATTATAAGACTCTTACTATCCTGCAGATTAGTAATTTCAGCTTTTAGAGCTCTTTTAGAGTTAAAATACTGGAAGAAATTTTTAACGTCATCCTTAGCCTCCAATGCAATCTTCCTTTCGACAGGTGACCTGTCCCAGAGAGCGAGTTCAAAAATGCTGTGGAGAAACCTCATCTCTGCCGCTTGTGCTTGCAATCTTATTCTTTTCGTCATACCCACAACCAAGGGTGTCAGAAATATGGGGGATGCGTCCCCTTTCCTTCCCGATAGATAGATTAGATAGATAAAATAGAATCACAATCTCGATTCTTACCTCCGTGCAATCTCATCCTAGGCTGAATCGCAATCTCGATTCATACCTCCATGCAATCTCATCCTAGGCTGAATCGCAATCTTGATTTATACCTCCATGCGATCTCATCCTAGGCTGAATCGCTGAATGTGTGTTTGAAATAACCACTACATTCTAAGTACTACGTTCTAAGTAGTGCACCAATGAAAACATTTTGATCTACCTACTATTTGAACTAGTGTGGTGCTGAGGTATCACCAGCCGCATGTCTGCACTCAGGTTCTCATCCTTGAGGTGGTTTGTCATGTGGTGGATGCGGAAATGCACTGTAATCAGTGCATGATCCTTACTTCTACCAATACTGATGACCTAATATATTTTTGTCACCTTGGGCGATCCGGCGAGCGGGTAAGCAGGCGAGTAGACGGCAGTATGGGGCAAATGGGGTTTATTGACAGGTCCGGAGGCACATCAGGGAAACGAGCACGAGACATAACAGGTACAATGACAGAACTGGGGAATACTGACTGAGACACGGACTAAATACTATAGTTGTTTTTGGCGGCCTGTCTTAATTTTAGTTTTAGTCTAG